AATTATTACTGTATGCGTTACGTATGCTTTAATTCTAACTGTATGCGTTAATGTGTGTTTTAATTCTAACTGTATGCGTTAATGTGTGCTTTAATTCTAACTGTATGCGTTCGTGATCTTTAATTCTAACTGTATGCGTTCGTGATCTTTAATTCTAACTGTATGCGTTACGTGTGCTTTAATTCTAACTGTATGCGATACGTGTGCTTTAATTCTAACTGTATGCGTTACGTGTGCTTTAATTCTAACTGTATGCGTTACGTGTGCTTTAATTCTAACTGTATGCGTTACGTGTGCTTTAATTCTAACTATGCGTTACGTGCGCTTTGATTTAACCGAAACCGTCACGTGCACTTTAATCATAACTGAAGCCTTTACGTGCGCTTTAGTTATAACTGAAGCATCACGTGCGCTTTAATTATAAATATGCATTACGTGCGCTTTAATTTTGAATCGACATTTCAGCACTCGGGACACTCCCAATAGCGTTCCGTCCCCATTTTCAGCAGCAAACGAAGAGTTCCAAGTGATGCTTGCCACTCTGCACACCTGTCTCCACATGCTCTGCTAGTCAACTACAATCACGGCATGTGTAGAGCTGATTCTCAAGCCAGCGGAATGCAGTAGTGACTGCCTCCACTCTCACACTAGACGTTGTGATTTCATATGCCAGGCTTTGTTGCACTAAGCGATGGCCTTTCGCTTTTGCTATGAATTCCTGTGCCCCTCAGAACAGAGCCATATATATAGATAATCACACAACTTGGGCGGGAATTGTCATCAATCATTTGTTGAACTTCTGATTCAGCAGCGCCAGCTGGCCAGTCCTTGCACTCACGACCTAAAGTGTAAAGAACCCTACAGAAGTCTGAAATTTACTCGGACACTTTGACCCTCTCCTCACATCGCACAAATTTATCAAGACTGCGCACAAGTTTGGTTATGTCTACAGCTTGTGCCATCCAAGATCTTCCTCTTTTCAGTCTGTGACCCTTAGCTTTACCCAGGGATTCATGCAGGAGGTACTCCTTGTCTGCTACTGTGAGATACGACTTTGCTTGCAGAACATTGAGCCTATCTGCAATAGTAGGTAGGGCAAGTATATATAGCATACATACTAACGGGATATCTCTTGCACATCCCAGAATTACCCACAGGGCTTCAGTCTGTATGCATTCAATTCTCATCAGCTGAATCTTCGATATGGTAAGCATGCCAAGTCCATTATCTATCACCGACAGGATCACATGCTGCAACATTGTGAACAGCATTCTTTGTTCCATGTCCATTGCTGCCACAATTTTGACTGAATTGTCCTTTTGGCATTCACAGCAACCGCTTTCAAATGATCGCTGAAGGACAGGCTTCTATCAAAAATGATACTACAGTTTGATTTCTCCTTGGATGTTAGTTATTAACTGTAAGGCTTGGAATATAGGCTCTTAGAATTATATTGTCCAGAGAGCACTACAAAACAGCCGCCATTTCTGAGTTTATGACACAGTGAAGAGCACTGGTGAAATTGCAGAACCCTGGGCGATATTACATGGTTCTGAGGTCCATGTACCTAGGCAAAGGGCTACCATATGTGAATGCAAGACAGCTGCTGTCCAGTTCACGAGCCAGGGACAAATCCCATTCTCCATGAGTGCAGATAACAAGATATCATATCTGACTCTATTGTAGGCATCCTGAAGATCAATTGCTACCACAGCTGTCTCCGGTCTGTTCTGGAAGCCCTTATAAACACCAGAAGCAGCTACATTTGACCAGGCATCTTTTCGTGGCCGGTAACTACCCAAACCTTTTAGCAGGAGCTCTTTCCTTTCCAAAAACATTTGTAGTGCAATAATCTTCTCTAGCACCTTGCCAAAACAATTTTGTAGAGTGATAATTCTGAAACCGCTAAATCTGGAGTGATCGTTGCCTGGTTTTGGAAGTTCACTCCCATTTTATGTATGATCTATCTCGTTGCACTTGTGACATGGATTGTTTCATCTGAGTTAGGAGTTCCCCACTTGTAAAATGCGTTGTTTATCTTGCGTTGGTCGTTGTCTCTGTCTTCTATTTTGAGCAGTTCCTTTTGTCTTGTGATCTATGCCATTGTCTCTCTAGAGTTAATACTGGTGCTAGAAATCTGTTGCTGATGTAACAACAGATTTTCCCTGCCTGGTGATGTGAGCTATTTGTACTGTCTTTGTAGCCGAGTCGCTTCATAAGAATCTATTTTTGGGCCATTATTCTCTGCTACAAGTTGGCTGTCTTTTCTTCCACAGGCTTTTTGTTTTGTTTCTTTTACAACAAATGTAGACAAAAGATAATGCAACAGAGGCTGGCAGGCGAAGATCGACTTGACTGTTGTATAGTTCGTAGGAGATTCCTCCAATGGTTTCATAGGTATTTCCAGTGAATTCAATTCTTACAGCCCTTGTAAGAGCTGCAGGTGAGTGGTTGCACGGAGATGAGTTTGCGTAGCCAGATCCTCACGGCACCAACACTTTTCAACATAGTTAATTACCGTTAGGTTATATTAGGGCCCACAACGACATCTTTGCGCGCGCCTCCTTTTCATTTCCTCCTGCCTGGTGCTTGCATGCGTTTGAACGTAGCCCCCCTACCCCCCCCACTTTTTTTTGGCCCTAGTATTTTTCTTTCATGGTGCTTGTCTCTTTCGCGAGCGCATGTATACATACTTCCTTTCTCTCGTGGTGTCTACCTGCCTCTCTTATTGTCATGCTCAATTTCTCATTATATCCCGACTTTCTTAAGAACAAACATATTGTTTTCCTCACCAGTTCTTCATTGGTGATCTTGTTTGGCCTAGCACATGTTATCCCCAAACCAACACTTGTGATATGCACACAGCCACACACAAATGCCTCGCAGACCACCACAAGCCAGCACACCAACAACATTTTTGGTGTGGTTTTTATTCCCAGTAATGAACGCAGCAGATGAACACAATCAGTAACATGAACACTCCCGACATGCTAGCTGTCATTTTACATGAGAAACATCAGTGTGGCGTAGGCCTGTAGTGGTGGCTACATTTGATTAAACAGACAAGTTCTCTAATGTATCAGATACAAGTGATGAATGCTGAAACATAACTCATGTACGTAGACATAATGGTATTAACAGTGAAACAAAAGTCACCACACACCCACTACAACATGTATAATAACAGCGTAAATATCAACTGAATGAACCAATTCATGAAACCTGGCCAGCTGTCTGCTTTCGACAAACAGGTAGAAAGTTACCAATAATCTAATTAATGTCTTCGGTAGGTATTTAGGCAAATGCAAAAGAAACGCACTGTAAAAAAAAAAAAATACATAACAGCTAATATGGCATACAGGTGTACAATTGAAGGATTTCATATCTGAGATTATGATAACAGAAGTATCCAGTTCATTTTCCTACTCTGCTCCAGAGAATTCAAGTGTTCAGTCAGCATCAAGACTTAGCATTTCAATACATCAGCTTGCAAATATGCTGCATTTTAAAATGCACATATGTGTCAAGCATACATCAACACTGTGAAGAAGAAGGAAAAACACACAGAACCTTAGCCACTGCAGGAAAGGAGGGGGACATTCAATAATATGCATGCTCTGCTCTGTACAAACTAAATGATGTACATTCAAGTGTCATGTCAAAAAGGCCTTCCACATGTTACAGTGCACAAAAAGTTTGGCAGCAAGAAATGACATGTGATGCTAAAGTCAGGGTCTTTAACAATGCAATAAACAAACAAGACCGCCTGTGGCTGCAAAGAGCATTAACATCAATTCAGCAGCAAGCAGCTTGTTACATGGGTGCAGCCTGACCAATCATCTACCAGCTCCTAGATAACATCACTGAAGCTGCAAGTTAAACAGGCATCAAACACCCTAACCAGGAGATGTTACCATGATACTGGGACAGGATAAGTCTTCACGCCAATCTCACCCAGAAGAACAAGTCTTTTTCCAGATGTGGACAGTGTGAATGCAAGCAAACGGACCATATCAGAATTAAAACAGTGTTTTGACAAGCTACACACAGAACACCCCTGACAATACTCAATCACTCAGCAAGAGTTAAAGTCACTCTGAAAAAACATTCTGCCGAGATTAGATCTTTAATTTGTTAAAAATACAAGCAACAAATACATGCACGTTCGAAAAAAGACTATAATCTACATATTAAAATTCATTATGCTAGGTTTTTAACCCTCCCGCCACAGTAAACCACTGGAGGTAAAACCTTAAAACTCACATGCTACTGAAAAAATGTTAGCAACTATATTTTAAAATTTATTTTGATATATAAATGAATAGAAGTGTTCAATAAAAACGAACGACTTCAGTTCTCTGGACATAAAAATTAATTCATACAGCGACTATAAAACTGATTGCTAAAGGGAAAGTTTGGCATCAGAATGACTTTTAAAAGCCCTACAATTACCCCCCATCATATTTTTTTAAAGTAAAAATATCAGGGAGTGGTCAACACAGCAATGCTGCTTAAGCTACTTCCCTTGTATGAATGGCAGGATCAGGTGCTTAATGGGACCAAAGGGTTAAAGACTTTCAGATCATTAAACTTAAGCTACTAGTCTTAAACAATATATGAGAACATTTCTTCTGCTGCTAGAGACTTGAACCGGCAGATCAGAATGAACAACTTAAAAACTTCACATGGACCACAAAACAATCATACTATAGACAAATTTAGTTGGCCTTAAAACTATAACAAATCTGGTTAAAATGGTATGCCACTATTAAAAATGGATGAAGGTAGGTACATATTAATCAAACCATACTGATGAATATATTTATGTTGATGTAACCAGAAGTGTTCCATGTTATGTTCACAACATAAATGTGTGTCAAAGCAGATATCTAGTGATGATGTGATGGGAGACTTCATTAACACATGAACAGACATTCAACACTCTATGTATTTGTTAATGTGTGTGTGAATTTATACTTCAATGGTCAACACAAAACTGACTAGCTATCACTTTTCTCTTCTGTTGTGTCCTCTTTTGTTTCTGTTTTCTCTGTTTCTGTCTCTTGTGTTTCTGCTTCTGCAGCTGGTGCTGCTGCTGAGGTTGCTGCCTTCCCCTTTTTGCCTTTACCTCGGCCAGTAGATTCCTTGCCCTCTTTTGCGGTCTTCTTGGGTTCACTTTTCTTCACTGGAGAAGGTTTAGGAACATCACCTCGGCTCTGGGAACGTGTTCTGCGACCAGAATTTACATCAACGTCACCATCCAGAACAAATTTTGCTGGGAAAAACAAGCAAAAACAAACAGTCACAACAAAGTATACATTATTATAATTCAGCATGCAATATCTTGCTTAGATAAGTGCCCAATGCTCGATTAAACACTTCCCACAGACAAACTTGTTTGACCAGATATCTTCTACAGATAAAGGCCTATTCAATGCTTTATTTTCAGGGCGAAAAAAGAAGCACACAATAGAAACACTGTACACTACCATGCATTTCATAAAAAGCAATTAGGCAGTAGTCACAGGGACTAGCAACTCCCCACCACAGAACAATCTAGCCACAAAATCCAACCTTGTAATGACTATAGTAGTAAACAGAAAAATAACTCAGCCAACCAGGATGAAGGAAAAGACATCTAGCAGAAGTATGACAACAGCTGATAGGTCAATTGTCGCCAGAATAACAATTTGAAGTGTGGAATTATGAAAGAGGTAGTAGGCAAGATGAAAAATGTGATTAGCATATCAAGATGGTGCAAAACACTGGAAACTAACACTAAAATGTATTATGCTTTTGTCTGTAACACTTTGCTGACCAGCAATCAGGGGCATTATTGTCTCCCATTACCAGGGGGGTTTGGATATTTTCCCAAAATGACTGGTTTCTAATAAAAATAAAAAAATAAAACCTTTAGAGCATCACTGCGGATGGTTGCTACACATGAAAAATATATTATGCAAGTATGTCACATGATCGTGGTGGCCATCTTAGATTTATTTTGCTATTCATAGAAATTTCAGGAGATGTTCTAAAACCACCATCTTTTTCCAGTTCTTAGTGAATTTGTTCAATTTCAGTGCAATAAACTGTTAGGGACATGGCTGATGATGAAATTGTTTTTAGCTAACAAGGAGCAAATTTTTAACGCTTGACCAAATATTTAATCACGGAAAACAAATAAAAATTTGAATACATCGGAATTTTTTTCCCCCTTGTATTGTGTTTATTTGCTACGTTACAATGAATATGTGTGAATGCTTGATTATGAAACCACCTCTAGTTCAAGTCTGAGCTACTTTCTTCATTAACTGGAGTTGAAGCTGTAACAGTAGCCCTCTGTCTTTATCAGGAATGTTGATAATCCTCAACTGTATGGTATAGCTTAAACAGGGTATCAGGCATAGAGGTGTATTGCAATCTGGGCAGTATATGCAAGTCCAGCTTATTTCACCTGCAGCCTTACACAATTTAGTCTGGTTTATACCTTGGCTTTCATATCTAAAGTAAAAATGATGCCCAGTAAGTTGTCGTGCTGTGGCATTTGGTCTTGAAGGTGTTACACTGTGCCAAAGAACAAACAGCAAGACATCAAGAACCTTTTTGCTGTGACCTTATACACAGAGTTGGCAGTGTTGTAGCTGATATGCTCATTAACCAGAGCAGTGTCAACTAAAAATAGGATCTAGGTGGGTAGGGGTAGTTTGCATTCAGCAGGCCGAAGAATTCCACTTTTCCTAACTGTCTTGTCTATAACACCACTGAAGTAAACAGTAGATATCAGATGAACTCTCTTAATGTTATGACAGGTAATGGCCAACATGCTTTTATATTTTGTCACATAAAACAGGATGAGCTGCCTTTTTCAGTTTCAATTGGTTTTTCTTTAAGAAAAATCAATTGGCGCACATCCAACTGTGTCTGACATGACACCTTATTCTTTGTATGGAAGAAGATTGTCAAGCTTAACAAGTTCATTCTGAGTAGCCTTTCTGCATTTATGTTCTGGTCTCTTGTGCCATGCCCACTTCTAAATTTGACAATCCTCGGAGTTGGTCAGTAGAGTGTTAAAAGGGCAGCTGATACAGTGTATTGCAGTTTACAGCTAGGCTGTGACAGATCTGCCTTTTCATGCAACACTTAATTTCACTGTAATAAGCCTCCCTTGACAACATATAAGGGGTCAAAAACTGGGCCTAAACCCCACAAAGAGAAGTAAAAAAAAAAAAAACATTAAAAAAAAAAAAGGCTCATTCATATCCATAAAACAAGTGTGTAAGTAAAGAACCCTCTCCCACACCTTCAGGCGTATTGGGCTAGACCTATATTTTACAGACCAATCAGCACTCGGTGGGTGAGATATGGTTAACATCTGGGCTAGACCTATATTTTACAGACCAATCAGCACTCGGTGGGTGAGATATGGTTAACATCTGGGCTAGACCTATATTTTACAGACCAATCAGCACTCGGTGGGTGAGATATGGTTAACATCTGGGCTAGACCTATATTTTACAGACCAATCAGCACTCGGTGGGTGATATGGTTAACATCTGGGCTAGACCTATATTTTACAGACCAATCAGCACTCGGTGGGTGATATGGTTAACATCTGGGCTAGACCTATATTTTACAGACCAATCAGCACTCGTGGGTGAGATATGGTTAACATCCGGGCTAGACCTATATTTTACAGACCAATCAGCACTCAGTGGGTGATATGGTTAACATCTGGGCTAGACCTATATTTTACAGACCAATCAGCACTCGGTGGGTGAGATATGGTTAACATCTGGGCTAGACCTATATTTTACAGACCAATCAGCACTCGGTGGGTGATATGGTTAACATCTGGGCTAGACCTATATTTTACAGACCAATCAGCACTCGGTGGGTGATATAGTTAACATCTGGGCTAGACCTATATTTTACAGACCAATCAGCACTCGGTGGGTGATATGGTTAACATCTGGGCTAGACCTATATTTTACAGACCAATCAGCACTCGGTGGGTGATATGGTTAACATCTGGGCTAGACCTATATTTTACAGACCAATCAGCACTCGGTGGGTGATATGGTTAACATCACGCCAACCTAGGAGCCAAGAACACTTTTGAAAAAAAAAGTTTAGCTCTATTCAGCGCAGAACCCACAACTTTCAGATATGCACAGGAGCATCTAGCCACTACAGCATATAGCTCACAAAACAAGTGTGTTTGTTTATACACACATGCTGTTCCTATATATACTGTTTTGTGAATGTGAATGTTTCATACAGAACAGCCCAAGCAATCATTTGACAGCATGGAAGAATATTTCATGCAATATATCCTTATCAAATGAATATAGAGCTGATTCCTATTTACAGAAGCATATTATGAAAAACTTTTAAGTGAAATTATGTGGAAGCTGTAGAAATATGGTTTTATAGAAGACTAATAAGAACACCAAGAAGAGATTAAAAAGCTTAATAAAAAATGTGCAAGAGGCTGTAAACATGGTGATCAATGCCAAACAGCATTGAGAAGATTAAAGAAATACCATTTAATAACAGTCGAGTCTGGATAAGTAGAAGTCGCAGGGACCTAAGAAAATGCTTCCATTTATCCAGACAGCTAACACAATAGAGAATGTACACTAAAACTGAGTAGCATTGAGTAAAATAATTATACCAGTTAGGAAATACCATAATTTAACAAATAAATAGCAATACAATATCAGAAATGTTGAAATATTTAATTATTTTAGAAGGTATAACATTAAAACCATTTGCAAATTCAGACGTCAAATAAAAAGTCTGTGATTTTGTTCTGTTTTTGGACGGTGAAAAATGTCTTTCCATGGCATGTGTAAATGCAACAAATGGTGAGATAACCAAATGAGCACCCAGTCTGCATCATGTATATGTTAATTTTGTCCGTGCATGCAAAAACATCTGACTGTGATACAGGCTGTGCTTGCAGCCCATGGTCATTCTCATCATCAGAGTCAGGGCTCTAGCCCTATATCACTGCTTGAAAGAGTGGCACTGGTAAAAACATCATTATCAATGTTCAGCTCTTGATACAACCTAGCAAGTAATGGCTCCACTAAAGTATCAGTAACATTACTCTGACTGCTCGTTGATGGTGCAGAATTCTCATTTACTGGCACATCTAATGCAGGTAAGAAGCAGTTTGCAACAGTTGCAGGCAAAACTCTGCTCCATGAAGATGTTAATATTAAAATAGCATCAAAACGGGTTATTTTGAAATCATTTGAAATGAAGTCAGCATCCATATGACCTACAAGTTTGACAACACTGTAGATCTAAAATGGGCTTTAAAGGTTTGAATAATACCTTGATCACAAGACTGAAGTGTTGATAAGGCATTAGGCGGCAGAAACAGAAGTTCTGGTGCTTTCAAATTGTCAAAGATTAAAAGAACTTTTTTTAAACGCATTATTGAAGAATCAAATTCTTGTAGCCACTCAGTGAACACTTATGATATCATTCATGCCTTTGAATAGGTTCTGTAATTAACACACAATTTTGTCATACTTTTGAAACAACAAGGATTTTTTAATTTCTCAGTAACGAATAAAGGCAATTTTTCATTACCATCCATATTGCAACACACAACCACTGTTATTCTTTCTTTGGATTTTTTCTCACCATTACACTTTTTATTTAAAAAAAAAAAGTTTTTCAGGCGACAGTCTCTAAAATAAGCATTAAATACATCCACAGAATTATATTTAACCAAAGCAGGTTTAAAGCACATCTGTCCATGAGTCAGTCGTTGCTTCATCAACAGACTGTTTCTCTCTGAACAGCCTTGTATATTATGCAATGGTGTTTTTTGAAATGATCGAACCAGCCAGCACTACAATTCCAGTCTGACCTCCAAGACCTGAAAATTCTGCTGCTTTTGCAATAATTAATGGCCCATTCATAGCTACATTTGCCGATCTAAGCTCAGTGAACCATTTTAAAAGGGCAGCATCAACAAAATCGCATGTCACTGTTCTAGTTCGCTGTCTGTCAGTGTTGATTTTATACTCGAAGAACCATATTGCCTAGCCATATCGACTTTCTTCTTCCCACTATGTTCAATCTCTTCCAACAAATTGTCAGCTTTCGACACTGGCTGCCACTGTTAATAGGGTATGTAGCAAGACATTGCAGCCGCGAGATTTCACGTTATTTCCAGGACTGACTAAAGATTTTTTTCTTATGAATTTTTCTTACATAGTGATAATGAAAAGTTCGACAAACAGGAATGTGTATACAGTCGAATTTTTTAAAATTTAGATTCAACTTATGCAAATATTCGAGTTAACCGAATTAGACATAAGGATTTTAAATACCAAGACAAAGAAGGGAAATTGTCGGGACTAAGCTGGTTATGTCGACTTGACCAAGTGGACTATTAAACTTCATGTTATGGATAAACCAGTCTACTTTGGGTTTCTAAACACTTGGTAGTTATTACATCTTTCTCTCTAACCTTCTTCCATAGTCTTGGCAATGGTTGAGTTTTTCTTCAATGGTGTCTTTCTGTTCTTCTGTGCTGCAGTTTCTTGCCTAGTGTCAGCCAGTTTCTCTCCAGCTAGTAAAGTTTTTCCTTCCTGAAAAAAAAAAAAAAAAAAAAAAACAGAATCAAGCTAAAGAATAGATCTCATATGTCCATGATGTGTATACTATTACAAAACTTTGATATAATGTTAACTAATTCCATATCTGTTTAGGCAACTAAAGTATATTTTTTATAGTCTACAAATGACAGTACAAGTATTAAAACAACACACAATCAAACAAGACTAGTTATAGCTAATTTCAGCAAATCCTGGGACATGTAAAAGAAGTGAAGAAATATATAAGCTTCCCCGCATGGCTTCCGGGACCCCATAGTGGGGAAAACAAGAATAGACCCACTGCCTGCCTAAAGGAATGTGGTTAAGAGTCCACTAATTAGGAGCTTCCTTTGAAGTTGGAGCACATCTGCCTAAAAGGCAAGAAACCAACAGTCAGCATGCAAATGAGCCAGACCTATGAAACGTATGGGGACGCAACACTCAGTTTCTGGAAAAGGACTAGAGCCCAGACGCGTATGAACCAGAACTTTCCGTCAAAGTTTATAGCTGGTGACCAAGAAGAAGATATTTACGCTGTATAGGGAAATCAATATATATGTAGGGTGACTAGGAAAGAAACATCTGATGAAAATCATTCACTGGAAGGCACATAATGGAAAATGTGTGATGTCCTTAAGAACCAACAATACAACATTAGGGTAGTCCCCAATGTGCTCTACCCCTGTCTTCAGCAGCCGGTGCAGTTTCATTACCAATGGTGCCAGTTGCAGTATGATTATACAACCATCTTGCCTTTCCTCCACGATACACCATTCTCTCTAGACGATGATAATCTAATCAACCTTCCACACTGCTGACCACCTAGGGCCTTGACCATTTCTGAACTACTAGGCATCAACCTACCACCTGATGGTGTAGAAGCAACCAATGTGTGCCTGTTTGTTTACCACTCTACCTTACACAATGAAGAATAAAAATACTAGGATTCCTGATGTGGGATCCTGGACCACATATAAGGTGGAGAAGGAATAGACCCACTGTCTCTTAACAAGCGCGCCATACACAGATACTAAACACGAGACTGGTGAAACTAGATTTGTTGGGTCAAAAAGTGCAGATAATGCAGTCTAGCTGACAACCACAACACAAATACCTTTCCAAGGGTCTGAACAAAGAAAAGGGAATAACAGATGACAATGTTAACAGAACCTCTTCCTATAACAAAGACATGAAGGGTGAACATACTTTAGCAGTGGCAGCCATTGTAGAATCTTTTGCCAATTTTGTCTTCTTGGCTGCAGGCTCTGATGTCTGTTCTGTATTTTCTTCTGTTGGTTTCTCTTCTTTGGTGTCTGCATTTTCATCAGTCTTTTTACCATCACCATTTTCTTTATCCTGGAGAAATGCAGGTAAGCATGTCATATATATTTACAATCATCATACAGCAGCAACACAAGACAGGTCAGGCCGACAGGTTCTATCAGCTTACTATGGCAGGAGAACACAGCATACCCACATAACACAAATTATCTATACCGTTTCAAAAACTGGAAGCAGTCTCCCAGAGTAAATCTGATTAAACCTATTTTAGGCCATTATGCCACAAGTGTCAAACATGGACCCTTACTGCAATTAACAAGCAGAAAATCACAAGAGAGATATCTTTAAAGAGTTCGTGCAACAAGACATACATACAATAAGAAAACAAAATCAGAACAGAACCTAAATCAGACAGCATAGCAGTTAAAGAGCAACACATTAAACGTTTTCATCCACTGACAAGAATATGCTCATTCCAACTGCCTTAAAGAGCTAGGCAGAAAAAAAAATATAAAAAAAAATAACAAGCATAAAGCAAAGAAAAGATCATGCAAAATATAGAACAATAAGATCAAATACAATTTAAGAGAAATAAAAACCAGCTTACAGTGCATTAGAAAGAACACAAAAAATTCTTAAACTGCGCTCATTCATACATCCTTGACAACAGTTCTTAAAAACATATAAAAAGCAGAGAATACTAGAGGTCCTAACACTTCACAATGGACTATTGTTATGTACTTAATTTACTGTAACTTAGTAATCTGATGCTGCAGCAGTGTTAAATGCTGGTAAAGATGATATGAAGCAAGAAGTGGCAAGTTCTTTTCCAACCATACATTTCCCAACAGATTCAACTGTGTGAGATGGAACACCAAAGCAACATGTCATTCCTAAAAAAAAAAAAAAAAAAAAGCTAAATGTGCTTTATGACAAGCATATAAGAAAGCAATAAGCCATGACCCTCCCAAATTAGGGCCCCATTAACCTATAAAGGAACAAGGTAGAATAATTGCAAAACCAAACTCATTTACTTTGAATTCCCAAAACACTGGACAAACATTTCACTCACTGCTGGTGTATCAGCAAGCCCCTGTGCTTCTAGCAAGGCATCGCCACCCTGTGACTTCAAGAACTCAACACCTTCCTATAAAACACATAAGTTAAATCAGATAATATTACAGTGACAAGTTCTAATCTAAAGCTTCCCAGTGAAATTCAATGTTGGCATTTTCTCCTCAGTTCTTGTAAATTAGAAAGACAACTTATAGTTTCTACCAACACATCATCATTTTCTTTTACCATCATACATGGCAGACGGCTCAGTCTGGTCCTTCATTATGTTCTATCCGATGCAAAGCTTTTAATATCATGGACAGAATCCTGCCCAAACCTTTGGCCTCTCTCATAATCTGTTTTATGGTTTCCTATGGATGCTCTTGTTTCAGCAGTCTGTTTATTTACATTTTCAGTGCCTGTTTAGGTGGCTCTCTGCTTGCTGCTTTTCAGGGTGTACGCAATACAGCACCATCTTCTTTGATTTTTTTTTTGTGTATCCAGAAACCATGAGTTGTAAACCCTTTGGCTCGGTACTATGGATATCGCAACCCTTCGGCATTGATTCCATTATAGGTACCGTTAATCTGGGAGAAATGTGACTTTTCTGCCTACCCCCAGGAGTGAACCCGGACCACAAGGAGTTCGTCACCCAGCCGCCGCGAAAGTCAGGTTTAACCAACTACAGACTACTCTGCTGAATGTACCAAAAAGATTTGAAAATCCTGTCAATGAAAAAGGACAGCATCTTGCATGACTTGCACATCTAGGAGAACTAGCTCATAAAGAGCATCCTCCCTCAAAAAGTATTTTTAAGGTACCAGTTGTTCTCAGACAGTTAGTTCTCTTATGTTTCACCTTTCTTTCACCCCATATACAGTTCAACAGTTTTTTCAAGACACCTAATTTCTGTGCCATGTCTTAAGTGGAACTACAAATTTCAATGGTGCAGATTAAAACTAAAAAAAAATATATATATATATATTTAACTACCAACACATGCATTTTCTTGGATTTAAAAAAAATATAAATATCTTTCCATACAAGAAATTATGTAACTGTGTGGCTTTAAGTGATATATATATATATATATATATATATATATATATATATATATATATATATATATATATATATATATATATATATATATATATATATATATATATAAACAACAAGTGAGCACACATCTAATCATACATGATAAGTTTACATTAGAAATCCAATTAAAACGTGGTGGTGGTGACATAATATAAACACTTGGCCCTTTAGTAAGCAAATCATTATGTGATTATCGTGACTATAATACAATCATACTCATAGCTATGACGGAAAAAATAAACAAAAACAGTAATAAAAAAAAAAAAAAAAATCAAATATGGCAATGGTGTCCGTCCACATATTCCTTACGTCAAAAGTAGTGTCTACAGTACAGTTCACAATATAAATCCACGGTAATTAGGTTGTGACCATTAGATTTGTTGTGCATTGTTATATGTACAATATAACAACAGTAAGGCACCTGACAAGATCTTCAGCATTCCGAGCAATTTAGGTTCAATGCTGCAGATATCACCTGGCTCCATTCATGGTGACACCAAGTGTTTGCAGGTCTGTCTGGACCTCTTTCCATCTTCTTTTTGGTCTGTCTCGTGGTAGCTTTCATCATGCCAGTGATCAGTGGTGATTTAAACAAATTATGAATTTTGTTATTGCTTCTCACTCTCTATTCGCTTCTGTTTGCATCCGACCAAAAAATACTGTAGGTGTAACCTACGCTTTTTTTACATTCACTGCAGGAAACCAGTTTTGAATAGGACTGCAATGAACTAAGAACTAGTAATAATTAATAATATAAATAAATTGTGTACTACTCATAAAATCAAAGTTTGTGTATAGAGATAAGAATTTGTATATTGTAAAAATGTGTAAATATGTGTGCAAGAAAGTGTGAGTCAGAGAGAGAGAGAGAGAGAGAGAGAGAGAGAGAGAGATAAAGAGAGAGGGGGGGAGAGAGAGAGCTAGAGAGAGCTCAGAGAGAGAGAGAGAGAGAGAGGGGGGGGGGAGAGAGAGTTGGATAGTCACTCAGTTCACTCACTTGACTCACATACTCCACATTTAATGACAATTAATGAGAACTTAATACTTATAAGAATACTTGAAGAGAAAATTAAATGTATAAGCACTGAGCAGATTATTTTCTCACATAATAAAATGTCATGTGAGATAGTAACTGGATAACATTCTTAGTTATTATTACTACACTAAACATTATCACCATCCTTTGCACAGTCTAATACTAATAGTATTTAATGTCTTAGTTCTTACCACCTTTGCGCAAAATGGTATTCAATATCTTAGCACTTATCACAAACTTCTACAAGTTAGCAAAACATGATTTTGATTTATAATAACTAACGTAATCATAGCAATACTTCAACTCAACTTCAAGACTACAGCTAAAATTTTTTTTTAAAATTATGTTTGGCTTCTAAACGCCAATTTGGCCTATTGGTGCCAATTTCGTTGTATATATATGTTACAATAATTACATCAAATTAGTCACGTCAACGTACATTTTAAATAGATGCATCTTTACAAAAGCACAAAACATATTACGACAATATTCGCAACATATCTGCTGAGCGTCTATGAGCTTGATCCTGGTTTGCAAGTTGTTACGATTTACTTCACTGACCTTGTATGCCAGCAGCCGCCATTTTGATAATTTAGGACCTGTTTCAAATTCTTCAATACACCGCCTTATTTTAGTAATCTACAGGCTTTTATTCATAAACACCGAGTACAATCATTATTTTACCTTATAATCAGTATCACTTTATCAAAAAATATCAGCAGAAAACGCTAGAGCGACGACTTCAAATTAGGCCTACATTTTTGACGCTTTTAACGCAGGATTAAAATGGCGAATTATTTGTTCCGAGTGCGCTCACTTTCACTCAGCATTTATATAAAATACAAAGCGAAAATTATAATTTACCTTTGCAGTTGTTTGCATAGTTCCTTCGCGTGCAAGATTAGACTTTACATCAGTCATTTTATTGCTGTTATTTGCGAGTATTTAACGCCGAATTGAACGTGGGAAACAGCAGTTTCACACGAGGCGATGTACAGCTTAATCGTGGAAGCGTGGTCACGTGACGGTCGAACTCGGCGCTGGTTGGCTGGGTAAAAGGAGGCTGTGCCAAAGCGGGAGTACAAAAATATTTGGAAGCACAAGGTAAACAACAAATACACTGGCACATAAAGTCCCGGTCACTCTTGTCCCCTACCTCGTATCTCTTACAAAAATTAGTCAAATAACACATCCCTCATTGAATTGCAGGTTACTTCGTAACCGTAAAAGTGCCCTAATCATCATCATTAGGTGCCCGGTCGACTGGCATGGGCGATTATGCCTCTCCACAATCTACTGCAGCATGTATCAATTCGCGTGCTGACACACCTCCATCCCTTGCAGCAAGACTGTCAAGAATCTTCTGTCCTTGTCTTCCTCAGTCCCTCCTTCCACAGATCTTTCCAGTGGTCACAGTATGTTCCGTTTTTCCTCTTCTCATGACATGGCCGAAAAATAATAACTGTCTCCCTCTGATGTCTGTAATAAGTTGTCTTCGGGCACCGGCCTCTTTCAAAACCTCTTGGTTGCTCTTGTTGGCTGCCCAAGGTATTGTAAGCATTCTTCTGTAAAACCACATCTCTCAGACCTGAAGAAATTGTTTGGCCTGTCTACCGATTGTCCAGGACTCACAACCATGTGTTAACACTGGGTGTATGTAGAAAGCAAAAATTCTTTTTCTAATCTTCAGTGACAGAGATATGTTACAACATATGTTCTTCATTTTATAAAGTGCTGTCTTTGCCCGTCCTATTCTGTTTCTTATCTCGGTGATGCATCTTTCATCTGATGTTATCCATGTGCCCAGATACTCACATTTTCCAAAATAACACCAATGACTTTTATTACACATTTAGGAATAATTATTTTCTTTGATACCACCATTACTTCTGTCTTTCCATTATTCAAACTAAGCCCCATTCTTTCACTTACTACCACCAAAATTTCTATCATTTCCTGTACTTCTTTTTGACTTGTTGCTATCAAGACTGTGTCATCAACATAACGTAAATTTTTTAATAGTATGCCCACCAACCACAATTCCGGGCATATCATGTAAAGATCTCATTTTATATTCACTGTATAATGAAAATAAATCAGGCCCTGATATAGCTGTGTTATACGGTATAACGGGATTTCTTGTGTATTCTTCTGGTTTTTTCCCCCCAGCCTTGAGGATAACTCACCAATGCTGCAATAGGGGAACAATTACAAACTTTCACCTCACAATATCACTTCAGTAGACATCATCATCATCAGTTCTCGTTATGCCTAGTGGCACATGAGGCTTCAGAGAGGACTTTCCATGCTTTCCTGTCCTGCGCAATCTTCATTGCAGTTTTCCATGTCAAAGATGCCGCACTCAGGTCACATTCCATCGTTCGTCTCCATGTTGTTTTTGGGCCCCCCTGTTTTCTCTTTCCCTCTGGTGTCCATGTGAGAGCTTCTTTGGCAGGTATATCAGAAGTCATTCTCATAACGTGGCCAAGCTATTTCCATCTTCTCTTGGTAATCATACTGTCTAAAGTTTCTTGGTTTGTGGCTTGAAGTAGTTTGGTGTTTAAGATTGTATCTGGCCAGAAAATTTTGATAATTCTACGTAGACATGTGTGGTGGAAGGTGGACAGCTTGTGTGCATCCTTTTTTGGTCATTCTCCAGCATTCCGCTCCATAAAGAAGAACTGGCAAAATGATGCTCTTGTAGAGTCGGAGTTTCGTTCCTCTGCAGTAATTGTTGGATTTCCAGATTTGCCTCATCCTTCCAAAAGCAGCTCTAGCTTTGTTCAGACGTGACTGTATGTCTTCCTCTGTCCCTCCCAGTAGGGACACCACACTGCCAAGATATGTGAAATGTTCAACATTTTCAAGTGATTGGTTACTTATGGTCACTGGTTGTTGGTTTGGACTGTTTGTCATGATCTTAGTTTTCTTTGTATTTATTCTCAGTCCAACCATTTCTGCTGTGCAGTTTAGTCTGTTACTTTTCTCTTGTATATGTTCATGTTTATGTGATAGGAGTGCTATATCATCTGCAAAATCAAGGTCCTCAAGCATGGTGAATGGAGTCCATCGTATGCCTCTTAATGTCCTGTCTACTGTTAGTTAGTTAGTTAGTTAGTTAGTTGGGTTATCCTCATTGCACTCCGGACATGTCCATAGGTGCTCAGATCCTCCCCTCAGTATGAACCCCAACGTCCGATGGCTAATAGTACCAGTTCTATGTTGATTAACAAGTCTTCTGGCGTAGCTGGTGTGCGTCTCGTTTTTTGCTGTGCCGATCCTAATTCCCAAGTCTGCCATTCTGGCGATTGATGTGGATTCACTGCCACCAAAGTCCTCTATTCTTCCCATTTCTCTGAGGGCATTGATAATATCAGCATGATCCATAGGCTGACCGTCGGTAGTGATAGCGGATCCAGCCAACCTGTTTAGACTTCCCTCAGGGTGTATTCGACGTCCGATGGCGACTATTTACCTGTCTACTGTGTTCTTTAGTATCCAATCAATCACAAGGTTGAAGAGGAGAGATGACACAACACATCCCTGTCTTACACCCGTCTTTACTGGGAAAGACGTAATGTAATTTTTTATACTGCAGGAAAAATCTTTATAGAAGAGAGCAATTATGTTGACTATTTTTTTTAATGGAATTCCATAATGTCGTAAAATTTTCCACAGACCGTCTCTATGGACGCTGTCAAAAGCTTTCTCAAAGTCCACAAAATTAATATATATACTTCTCTGCCATTCGTTGCATTGTTCTAAAATGTTACGTATGGCGAAGATGTGCTCAGTTGTTCCTCTGCCCTTTCTGAATCCTGCTTGTTCCACTCGTAGGCATTTATCTACTCCATTTTCAAGCCTCATTATGATGATTTTACAAAATATTTTGCTTGGTACTGAGAGAAGAGTAATTCCCCTCCAATTATTGCAGGCTGTTAAGTCTCCTTTTTTGGGGATTTTGACTATTGTTCCTTCAGTCCAGTCATCAGGCAACATTTCTTTTTCCCAAATATCCTTGAACAATGGTTCTAGAATGCTAGCAGTTGTGTTGGGATCTACTTTGAGAAGTTCTGCGGGCAGTTCGTCTTTGCCTGGTGCTTTGTTGTTTTTTAAAGTGTGGATAGCTTTAAGGATTTCTTGTTTGCTTGGTGGTTCAGTAATAATGTCAATGTCCTGAGAGGCTGGTTGAATATCTGGGGGATTTTCAGGATCAGGTCTGTTCAAGAGGTCGGAGAAGTGTTTAGTCAACTGCATGTCTTGTTTTTGTTCTGTGGTGAGCAGTCTGCCTTGATTATCTCTGATGGGTATGCCTTGATAGGCATAGTAAGCATAGGCGCTTATAATTCGCCAATTCACGTGATGCCTAGATAAAAATATGATTCTAGCGTCATGTGCCCAATGCGCAGCTGGAGCCAAAAGGATCCTCGTATCCACGTTACTTGGTCTTGCATCGTGCACATAACTACTTTGGCCATGACGACGCGATCTCCACAGCAGAAATCATGTTCCAATTCGTGTGCTAATACCATTCCATGTCAATATAACCCAAAAAGTGTTTAACAGTATATATATGTTACAAATACTGCTACTACCAGAGTTGCGTTGATTCAAGAATCGACATCATAGCACTCGGGGCATTTCCATAAGTGCTCTGTCCCATTCTTCAGCACCCAACGCAAAGTTTAAATACCTATACTTTACCTCTGAGTGTCGAGTATCGGCCAGATCCTCTCGTCAATGCCTGCTGCTCACTCTCACCAGCCTGTTTGGTGCTCACTCTCACCAGCTTGCCTGCTGCTCACTCTCACCAGCCTGCCTGCTGCTCACTCTCACCAGCCTGCCTGCTGCTCACTCTCACCAGCCTGCCTGCTGCTCACTCTTACCCGCCTGTTTGCTGCTCACTCTCACCCGCCTGTTTGGTGCTCACTCTTACCAGCCTGTTTGTTGCTCATTCTTACCAGCCTGTTTGCTGCTCACTCTCACCAGCTTGCCTGCTGCTCACTCTCACCAACTTGCCTGCTGCTCACTCTCATCTGCCTGTTTGCTGCTCACTCTCACCCGCCTGTTTGCTGCTCACTCTCACCAGCCTGTTTGGTGCTCTCTGTCACCAGCTTGCCTGCTGCTCACTTTCACCAGCCTGTTTGTTGCTCACTCTCACCCGCCTGTTTGGTGCTCACTCTTACCAGCCTGTTTGCTGCTCACTCTCACCCGCCTGTTTGGTGCTCACACTTACCAGCCTGTTTGCTGCTCACTCTCACCAGCCTGTTTGGTGCTCTCTCTCACCAGCTTGCCTGCTGCTCACTCTCACCAGCCTGTTTGCTGCTTACTCTCACCAGCCTGTTTGTTGCTCACTCTCACCAGCCTGTTTGGTGCTCTCTCTCACCAGCTTGCCTGCTGCTCACTCTCACTAGCATGCTTGCTGCTCACTCTCACCAGCCTGTTTGCTGCTCACTCTCACCAGCCTGTTTGCTGCTCACTCTCACCAGCCTGTTTGCTGCTCTTTCTCACCAGCCTGCTTGCTGCTCACTCTCACCAGCCTGCTTGCTGCTAACTCTCACCAGCCTGTTTGCTGCTCACTCTCACCAGCCTGTTTGCTGCTCACTCTCACCAGCCTGTTTGGTGCTCACTCTCACCAGCTTGCCTGCTGCTCACTCTCACTAGCCTGCTTGCTGCTCACTCTCACCAGCTTGCCTGCTGCTCACTCTCACCAGCCTGTTTGCTGCTCACTCTCACCAGCCTGCCTGCTGCTCACTCTCACCAGCCTGCCTGCTGCTCACTCTCACCAGCCTGCCTACTGCTCACTCTAACCAGACTTGTTGTTGCTTACTCTCACCAGCCTGCCTGCTGCTCACTCTCACCAGCCTTGTTGTTGCTCACTCTCACCAGCTTGCCTGCTGCTCACTCTCACCAGCCTGCCT